AACGAAGATCAAGGCTTGCTTACCGTGTCAAGTGGTTACCCCAGTTTACACAAGAGAACCGCTTCAGATGACAGCCCTTTTGATGAAGTCAGTGTGGACTTTGCGCACGTGGATGGTCAGACCCGGCTTACTCCTAGTAGTTGATGACTACTCGAGATTTCCGTTCGTTGAAGCAGTGTCATCTACGTCTGCTAGTGCTGTCATCCCCAAATTGGATCAGCTATTTTCCACATTTGGAGTTCCCCGTGTAGTCAAATCTGAAAACGGCCCGCCGTTTAATGGAGAAAAATTTACAAAGTTCGCGTGTGTGCTTTGTTTTAAGCATCGAAAGGTTATTCCCCTCTGGCCAAGGGCTAATGGAGAAATTGAGAGATTTGTGAAAACGTTGAAGAAATGCATCAAAGCAGCCAAAGTAGAAGGGAGAAATTGGAGATAGGAGCTACAAGCCATTTTGCGTACCTATCGCACCACGCCCAGTGCAACTACTGGTGTTGCTCCTGCTGTACTGTTGCTGAAACGGCCTGTTCGCAACAAGCTACCACAAGCCAATCACATTGACCCTGTAGCTGAGATCGTACGCGAAGCGACTCCTTACAGAAGCTCTAGATGAAAGCTCATGCTGACAACAAGCCTGTGTGAGACCTTGCAACATCTCCTCTGGCGAGACTGCGCTGGTCAAGAGACCATTTTCAGGATCAAAAGGTGGAACTGTGTATGATCCTACCCCCATGACTGTTGTAAGCAAGAAGGGCAGTATGATCACAGCCGAGGGCGAGAATCGCACAGTCACAAGAAATTCGTCATTTTTCAAGAATGTGTACCAACCAGCTATTAGCCATGGAAATGATGAGTCTCAGAACAGTGGCTTTGGCTCTTCAGCGGACAAGGAGTGTATGCAGGAGCCGCCACCTGCTCTTGAACGTTCGACTGTTCCTGGTCCAAATCCATGAAACTCTCCGAACACCCCGAACGTCAAAGCTGATTTACGAAGTTCAAGCAACCTTGTACCTGTTCCAGGGAGTCAAACTCAGACCTCTCAACCCGGTGATCAACCACCGTTGCGCAGATCAACCAGGAAGCGAATCCCCCGAAAAATTCTGGACTTATAGTTTGAGTTTAACTTAGAACTGGGAACTTGTAGTTTGAGTTTAAGTTAGAACTGTGAACTGCAATGGTAGAACTGTTTTAACTTAAAACCATTGCTTAGTAACTGTATTTCGTTGTTTTCAAACACATGTTAGAAAGTTCTCAACTAGGAGGAAGAAGTTGTAATGTTAATTTGCATATTACGTATCGCTAAGGACTATGGGATGATCCTATCAGCCAGCATGGATGTCTATGTGACTGGTGATTGAGAACGCATTAAAATCTTTCGTTTATCTTGTGCATCTTGAGTTAACACTGAAGGAAAACCTTACAGTTACTCCAATACGCAGACGACACAACGGCAGTTCTCTCGGACATTAACTCAGCTCAAAAAACTCTTTTCAGGCTGCTCGACGACTTTAAGAAGCTCTCAAGTTTAGTGGTTAATCCCACCCAAACTGAAGGAATGTGGATTGGATCTTCAAGAGAAAATAAAACGAAACCCTTTGGTATTAAATGGCCAAACAAACCAATTAAAGCCCTAGGGGTCTCTTACTCTTACGATCAGAAATTACTACACGAAAAAAACTTCATAGAAAACCTGGACAGTGTTAAGAAACTTATAAATATTTCGTCTGCAAGAGGTCTCTCTCTCTATGGAAAGGTAACAATAATAAAATCCCTGATTGTCCCAGAGTTATCCAAGAACTGAACCGATTGATTTTTTTAATTTCTGTGGAAAGGCGTAGACAAAGTCACACGTTTGTCAGCAATAAATGATTATGAAAAGAGCAGACTGAAAATGATTGATTTAGAAACAATGATGAAATCCTCACGACTAGCCTGGCTAAAGAGAATTTTCAGCGAAAATAACGGCACATGGAAAAATTACTTACATCACGTACTAAAAAGTTTTGGCGGCCCTTTCTTATTTCAGTGCAATTATAATATAAAGGATCTCACAATCTCTCCTCAATTTTATACCGAGTTGCTTCAGTGGTGGGCGGACTTTCGAGAAGAGTTTTCTGCAGAGAAACCGTGGCACAATATAATATGGAATAACAAAGACATTCGTATAGATAATAAACCAATATTCTATAAGACATTTTTCGAGTCTGGTATTACGCATGTATCTGACCTTCGATTTGATTTAAATATTACAGAGTCCTATACTAAATTATAAGGTTAAATCATCCAAAAGAAAACCATCATAAAATCTCTATAGGCCTCTTTACTCAATTTTCTGGTCATGACTTAGTTCAATGACTCATATGGGAAATGAAAAGACAACTAGGGAATGTTTTGAAGGAAATAACCGTGCTTACCTTAGTGCTGCCTCCCTCAGATGCGAGGTTTTACAAGGATTATGGTCATGATAAGTCAATTTTCTCAAAGCAAAGGTATCAGTGACGTCACCTATTGTTATTAATATGCCAACCAGAGAACTATTGACTGGTGAAACAAAGAATTCTTTTGTTTAACGATTTGAACATTTAAATAACAAAAACAATGTTTGTAAACAAATATCTTCGCTATACGAAATCAGCTAAAAAACGAATTCGCCTTGTCCCTCCCCAATTGTTCCGTTACAAACTGATAGGAATCAACGGTCATCAACGTTCTCTCGATTTTGCAGTTTTTTTCCGTTGGTCAGCAACGTTCTAGTTTTTTCCGTTGGTCATCAACGTTCCAGTTTGTTTCCGTTGGTCATCAACGTTCCAGTTTGTTTCCGTTGGTCATCAACGTTCCAGTTTGTTTCCGTTGGCTATCAACGTTCTCTCGATTTTGCAGTTTGTTTCTTTTGGTCATCAAGGTATTTAGTGAGTGAAAATTTTGGTACGTTGTAGTCATGTGTATGGTGGCCCATCAATGCCATAGCAAAAATTGCTTCAGGATGGTGTAATTTTTTAAAGTACGCGTTTTTATTTTTATTTTTTTTCATAATATTATTTATTATTTTGATTTTTTTTATTAACAAATAAATATTTAGCTATAAGAAATTGCGAAAAAGCTTTTCTTCAAAACATTTAAGAAATTTTTAGTTCTCGGACCTCATTATCAAGTGAAAAAAAAAACAGTATGAATATTCTATAAATACAAGAAAAACAATAGTTCATTAGAAAGAGGTAACATAAAAATATGCTACAAGCTAAACAAAGAGTTTAGCACTGATGAGTCACTCTGAGTGTTAAGGCGAGGCCTCAGTTCTTTGATGAATAGCATTTCGTAAACGAGGCAGTCATGTATAAACTCAACTTCTGAAATCGAAAGGTATGTGCTTCCTTCAATAAGAAATAACCAAGCAGGATGGCTCTTTATAGCACATAGTTAAGGAAAAATGTAAATTATCAATATGGCTTTTTCTGCAGCGCAAAGAAAGAAAA